ACTGAAACATTTTCTAAGAAAAACTGTACATTTAGAAAATCAGGTGGTATTATTTAAAGAAAAAAAACCCTTATATATCAGGAACATAGTAGAGTCTCAGAATGCATTTTTTGTAGGGGAAAAAAATTCCTTCTTTTAGTACCTCCTGGCAACACAGTGAATAGACCAGTGACTGCTGCTGTTCTTTTTCTTATTCTTTTAGCCTTTTTTCAGCATGGCCCTGGTGGGGGCTAGGGTTGGCAGAGATCAGGCCTGTAGAAGCTGACCCTGCAGAAGTGGTGGAATAAGTGACTCTGAGCTATGGAAACTGGCCTGTGCTCCCCTCACTTGCAAGTGAGGACTGCAGTAAGGGACCTGGAGCACTGGCCTGGCACTTGGGCCTGCACTAGCTTCCACCAAGGACTCGGAGAGGGTGCGGGACAGGCCAAATGTCTTTGTGCACTTTCTGCCTTGTAGAACTCCTCTTCTGTGGCTTGATTTGTGCTTTGAAGGAATTAGATCCCTGCATTTAAAGAACTCACTCCTTTCACGCTAGAAAGCCAACTCACCCACTCTTCTTTCACCCCAATGTTAATTATGAATTCCTCTGTCTGAGCACTGCTTGTCAGGTACAGAGCAGCTTATCTGATAGAATTATTCAGCCCCAAATAGGGGCAGGTTTCTTCTTTCAAGATGTCCTGCAAATGATGGGTTTCATGAAATCAAATATCCTTTTGGCAGAGGGAATATGGTAAAGCACGAGAATTGTAGGAATCTCTGCCTCCACTAGACCACCGCTCTTCACTAACTGCCAGGGAGTAAACCCGCAAACCCCAGGTGATAGGCTCACTCCCTTCCAGGCCCTTCTCCTGACCATCCACACTGCCCACCCTCATGGGTAGAGCAGAGCCTTCGCCTCAGACAGTGACCTGAGTGCTGTGAATATGAAAGCAGGCGTTTTCTGCGTTATAACAAAATACCGATCAGCACTTTATTGCATTTTATGCTCAACACACCTACGCAAGGATTCCCAGCCTCCACTGACACCCCCTGAAGATGCCTATCAGTGTCATGGTACACAGGGTTGTCTATTGATGAATTTGTTTGCAAGCCTCATCAGAAAGTTAGATAGGGTGGGGATGCTGTTACACAGAAAGAATCCTCACAATTACGAGGATATGCTTAGCATTCCTGCCTAGCATAGATGATTTAAGGGTCAGCTCAGGGCAGGTGAGTAAAGGTGAATGCAGAGTTACTCTAAGAGTTCTGTGAAAATATGCTTTTTGCAATCTGATGAATATTTCTGCTGTGTTGTATGAGGCAAAATTTTCCAGCTTATATGGCCCAGGGATCAAGCAAGTAAGACATAGGATTTGATTTTTCATATAAAATATGATCTGAACTAGAAAGGGTATAAGAATGTGAATTTGGTGAAAGGAATAAGACAAAGGAGATCAGCTATGTGAAGCTTGTGGGGGAGGACACCAAAAAACGGAGAATCTCTAAAGAAGGCAAACACCTGTAGGCAGAGGGTTCCCACTTTTCCTAATTCTGCATTTAGAATATAGACAATAATCCATCACTGACTCTATCAGCTTTCTGTTTCAATGTGTGCTGTGAGATATTTGGGGGAAACACACTTTTCTATGGTCAGGGTCTCCAAAAGATGATCCCTACGATCAGCGATTGGATGAGAGTGCCAGCCTAGGCTCCTTTGGTCAATAAGAGGAGGACAAGGTCTGTTTTTAGAAGAAATGAAAGCACACAGAAAAGCTGAGGGTGCTGGAGATGCTTTTGGGGACCCGATTAAACAGTTCCTTGTGCTTCTCGATAACAAATCATACCAGAATGGAAAGTAATGAAGCATATTATCAAATGTCAGTGAATATGTTCATAGTTTTTATGCAGCATGGGTAGAGTTTCCCTAGGGTTTGGAAGTATTCTAGGTAAAGGGAAATAAACTCGTGGTTTCCTAAGACCATTTTAAAACCTAAGTTCCAAAACTCATTGAAAGAATTATTGTAATGCAGTAAAGAACGAGACTTGAACAACAAAAAATTACATCGAATTACATACGGATATTTCTACGCTCTTGGGACAGTCCACAAGAATTTTAATCTTGTAATAAAATGGCATAATCCCCCAATAGCAAAGAAAACAGAAAAGGCAAAAACAATAACAATAATATTTGAAACCTGGTGTCAGGTGGACAAGTGTAATAAACTCAGAGAATGAAAAAAAAAAAAAAAGGAAAAGAGAACTGGCCTGAACAAAACCCAGAAACAATTAGATTTGAAGGTCCAGAAGCTGATGATGGCAGGTGACCCTCACAGCTGGTCTTTGTCCCCAAGGAAACAATCTGTATCCTTTCCTGTCCGTGTAAGTTCTCTACAGGAAGAATCTGGTCTCATTTCTCATTTTCATGGTTTCTTGTCCCATATAAATTTGGGAATCCCACCTCATGAAACACACTATAAATAATCATCCTGAGATTTGCAAGTACATGTTTTTATGGAGCTCATGGCTGTGTTCATCCAGGGTGCATTGTTCTTTAGTCCACTTATGCCAGCCAGAAGCTCCAAACACAGATTTTGTGTGATAGAGGTGTTTTTATGCTTAAAACTTATTAAAGGAACCTGGGGCACATACACATCTTGGTATTTCTGTGTAGCTAACATTGCTTTGCCTCTGCCTCAAGTCAGGCGAGAATGCCACTTGTCGTCCTGTGGCCTGACTGTCCCAGGAGTGTACAGTGTGCTTTAGGGGAAGAGGCTCATGACTGGGGTTAGGTCAGCACGGAACCTGAATGCCAGCTCTGACAATGGCTCTTTGGGACTTGGTATATTACCTCTCCATGCTTTGGTTTCCTATCTGGTAACAGTGGGCAAATACCTTACGGGGTATAAATGTGGAGATAACAAGTATAAAAACAAAAGCATGTAATCTTTAATGAATTACGGAAGTTTCTGTATGCAACTTGCATGTACACAGAGGGTTACATTGTTGAACAGTGAAGTTTATTTTTCTCTTTCCAGAGAAGCTCTCTTGTCATCATTAGGAGGGAGGTGTAGGAGTCAAGAGCTGTAAATCTATTCTCATTCAGGCCTTTCTCCACCAGGAACCACTAACAAGGGGGCAAGCTTCCAAATTAGTGGTGTGAATAAACATTTCTCACCATTGTAGTGCAACATACAGGAGTACCACTATGTTTTTAACTGACAACACACAACTGTGCTCTTTCATAAATAGTATCTTAATTATCACCAACATTGAGTGATGCCCAGGGGGCAAGTAGCACGCTCCTGCCTGTTTCATCAATTGAAATAAAATCAGAGACCAAAACCAGGAATGATCAGTGTGTGAGTGATGAAGACTGTGAACGGGGTACTGTGATTTCATTTGTCTTTTGTTTTTGTACCAGAGACTAGAATAGGGAGCCCAGCGAGCTCCACTGTGTGGGCAATGTGCTTTGGAGCTTATTTAGCACTGCAACTCCTAGTAGCAGAGCTTCTATCATTAAAGCCCCATTTGGAAATGTGCACATTTAAAGCCTGGTTTACTTTTCTGTCATTCTTAGCCTTTCCTTTGCAATAAGTTTTTATTGTCCATAAACTGAAGCAACATACCTCTGCACCACAAAAAAGCAGTATTTAAGAAAATGTCCTTTCAAACATTTGTCTTTATAGCTTACTAAATATTTAAGTGAACCTTGTTCTACTGCTTACAGCTATACAAGAGGAAGGGCATAAGAGGGAGGGAGAGGCTGCGAGGCATGGCGGTGGGGGACAGACGTGAGCAAACGATTCTAAACACATTGAAACTCCCTCAAAATATGAAATGAAGAGGGAGAAAAAGGCAAGGGAAGAACAAGGAGGAAAAGAATGATCAGTGTGTTGTGCGTATATAGGAATCTGCCAAAGAGAAAGCCTTTTATCTGTATAACCAGCAAGAAAGTTAAAAAAAAAAAAATCTAAGAGATGATTATAACTTAAAACTGAAAGTTTCCTTAGAGTTTATAAGAGCATGGCGTTTTAGGCTTTGAATTGCCCTGCAGATTCAAAGAACTAAATTATAAAAAGGAAGAGCTATGGTCCGCTCTGTTATTTTAAAGAAACTCAAATGTAAACTGTTTTGAACAGAAAGATAAAATTTTGCTAGCATCAGTGAGTAATGCAAGAAGTCTGAACTATCTCAGCCCTTAACTATGCACATAAATTTGAGATTTTGATATCAGCATTACATTTTTTAAGTGAATAAAAATACCAACCTTATGTCACAGTATATTCCAGTCACTCTATCAATAAACCAAGCAGTAGTTGTGCATTACCTACCAAACACAGCCAGGAAATGCCTGCCTCCACTGGATGCAGGAGTAGACAGAGTCCTGGCACAGGCAACACCAACACCAGGCTATCTGTACTAGGTAATTTGATACTATCATGTGTCTTAGTGAAATTCTGTATTGTTTCTATTCTTTTTTTGTCTACTTTTAAAATTTTTCTTTAAAAATTTACTAACATCAGGCTAGTGATTGGAAGATTGTGCCTGGGTTCACACTGAGGGGTGGGAAGACAGGAGCTGATGATGGGGCGGGGCTTGTGGATGCTTGGGAGAGAAACAGTGTGGCCGATGGAGACAACACCACATAGAACAATTTGATGTCAAGAATGACCACATTAGAACAGGCCAGGAGTTCTGGGTGAGGATACTGCCCTCAACTGCTGCCCCCTTTCATCTCTCCCAGAAAAGCCAAAAGAAGGAAGGCTCTGTATGATCAGCCACAATGCCTTCACTTTCAGGAACGCCTTATCAGTGTGGCCGTCCAGTGCCTTGTCCCACTGTGTAGTGAGGCTGCCAGTCAATTATAAGCTGTGGAATGCCAATTATAAGTGGGAAGTTTTGGGTGCCTAGATTCTTTTTTAAAAAATGTTTACTTAAGTACCTGCCAATTTAAAAAATCTTGCTGGATTATTTTGGAACATTTTTTAATAATAATAGAATATTGACAGTGGTGATCACTATAAAACATGGAACACCTCACGAATTCACTTGTCGTCCTTGCATGGGGGCCTGCTAATCTTTTCTGTATTGTTTCAGTTTTAGTACATGTGTGGCCAAAGCGAGCACTACTGTTTCAATCCTGCCATTTCCCTTAGTACTGATACTTCCTCCACCAAGAGCAACTATTGTGTCCTCAGCGGGGGTCTAGTCATTCATTGCACGTTACTTGTTACTTCGTGCTCACATAAACACTAGGAGATAGATACTGTTTTCAGGCCCATTTTTCAACCAGGAACCTAGGCCTCAGAGAGGTCAGTTACTTTGCTTAGTGAAATAAAGCTAACAGAATAAAAATAAAAATGAAACTTGTACTTATGGAACAAGCTTGTACTTGCGGAACATGCTGTAGTTCATAGTCACGTCCATCTTACCCTTGAATCTGTGACCCTAGAAGCATCTACATCACAACAGAGTGACACCACTCTCCCTTAGCCTTGTTCTGGACTGGCTGGAAGTCTGAATTTGCTCCTGTCATTGGCTCTACTTCCTCACCACAGCTTGCTGTCATGGGCCTCCAGGGCTCTGCATGCTCAGCCTGCTGGTCTCATTCTGCGTCTGACTGAAATCGACCTGTTCTCAGGGGCCGGACTCCCTCTTCTATACAGATTACTCTGAGACATGCTGACTCAGCAAACCCTGCCAGGTCCAGACCCAGCTGTCCATTTCCCACAGCACATGCCTGCTGCATGTCCCATGGGTCCCTGGGACTCTCCTGTGTTCCAGAGCTGAACTCTTCAAGGCTTAGCTGCTTTCCCTCTTCATTTTATATTGTAGAAAGTAATGCTGTCTTCTTTTCAGCTGGCAAAGCAAAGCATCATTCCTGCTTCTTTCCTTCACGCATCTCCATATCTCATCAGCCACCAGGTCCTAACATCTCTGGAATCCATTTCCTCTTTTCTTAACTGTCATAGCTTTCTTTCTGCCCCATGTAATCTTTCTGCCAGGAGTCCTAGCTGGAGCACGTGCCTCCCATTTCATGCTCTCGCCCCCTCTGTCCTACCACTTGCTGCCCAATAATCTCTCTGCAACGCTGGCTATATCACAGCATTTCCACTTCCATGTTCACTAATTCCCTGTTGACCTGAGGATAAAGTCTAAAACCTTAGAACAACATGCCCCTGCCTTCAGGATTTGTGGCCCCCGTAAGGCTCCAGTCTCACTTGGGGATGTCTCTACACTGATCTCTTATTTAAATAACACCAAATCATCCACTGAACCAGGAATGGCATGTAGCTCCATCAACATCTACTAGACTTCAGTCAATATTAAGTGAACGTATATTACATCCCAAGCACGTAGCTGTACTGTTTCCTTTACTATTCCATCCTGTTTTCTTATGAAATTCTCAAGTCATTTAGTTTTAATTTAGTACTAATTCCAACATTCAAGATATAGTTTAAAACCGGTTTGTACATCACAGATCAGATTTCCTGTGGTGGGTAAGGGACACAAGGTGATTGCTTCATCCACAGCAAACACATGATCATGTGGATCTCAAAAAGCAGGAGGGCCCAGCATAGGTGGGGAAGCAAGGGCCCCGGAGCCTCAGAAACTTCTGAATGCCACAGCCACTGAAAGTCAGCAGTGAGAGAGGAAACAGAAGTAAAAAAAGAATCAAGGAAGCAGGAACAAGAATTGATAGTTCACACATGAAATACAGGGTTGTATAACTTCTACTAAGAGTTAGCACTATCTCCTGGTTAATGGAATGCCCTTCAAAGGAAAACATTTAGTTTTTTTGCATCAATATGAATTTCTTTACCTAGTGATGTATATTATTGATTCTAACTAAGATCACCCGACAGTTCTTTGATCTGTCTTCCTAGCAGATGAGGCTAAGCCCTGGCCCCTGGTAACCTTCCATACACCCCAGGTTCAAGGTGTCTTCCTGTATAATGTGATGCTGCAGACCTGACAATGGATAAAGAGAACACGCTGTCTTAAATGTATGTTGGGGTGTGTGTATTAAAACAAATGGAAATATTACATTGTAAACCACATAGAATTTTTCACATGTTGAAATAACCCAAAATCTTAAATAAAATATATTTTTTGTAGCTTTTCCAGAAACCAGAATGTCCATTTTCTGTTTACAGAGAGATCTTGAGATAGCAGTTTTTTAAAAAAAATCACAGTTCTTCCAAGCAGCTCCCTTCTCATCTTTGTTCCTCCACCTCTTCAGTCTTCTGCTGTTGGGTCTTTTTGAAACAATTTTGTAATTCACTCAGGCCCGAAAACTTATACCAGGTAGAACCACTTGCTGAAAATCATTCCTATAAATAGGTTACTTCTTAGTTAAAAATTATCTTTCAAGGTTTGAGATAGTGTGTCTCATTAAGTGAAACTCTGAGGCGGTGGTGGGGGGAAGGCTGACTGAATAAACAGTACTGTCTGAGGTAGGACCGAGCCCTTGTGGGGTGGTGAGGACCGCAGGGGTTGACCCTTCCGCCTGCACTGACACCCCCCCCCCGTCTCTCGGAGCAGTGAGAACAGTGGTTTCCACGCCCACAGCAGCTCCTGACAGCCGGGGACCCGGAGGCCTGGTCCACGTGGGAGGGACCACGCGGGAGGGAACACGCGGGAGCTCCGAACTGCACCTCCAGGGAGGAGGGTGCGGTGAGCACGAGGTCCCCGTCCACGCGGTCTCACGGCCCCAGCCGCGCGTGGTGACCCGCCTGCCAACCAGGGATATCAAAAAATTGGAGCTTTCCATTATGGTGCCTGAGGCTTCTCAGCAAGAACTACTGCCATTGTTTGAAGCACTTCCTCAGTAGGTGTTTTAAAAAGAGATCTTGGTATAATTTTCTACTCTGATGATGACAAGTAATTATTATTTTGATAAATGGTTTTTCAAATAAGGATAAAAGCTGAAAATGAAATGAGAACGGAGTGTTTATCTTTTTCACAGATATAATAAGAGAGAATAGATAACCCCTTCTCTTAATGCACTTCGCTGTCAGCCGTGCATAGTCTGGATGTGTGCAAAACTAAGGTCAGCCACCCAGCTTTTAAACTGAGGGACGCGTGACCTTTTAGAACGAGAGTATTATTGTCATTCGGGATGATTTTAAAATCTTTTCTTAAAAAACCATATTTATTTATTTATACAGGGTCTCACTACACAGGTGGACCTCTTAGTGATTCTCCTGTCTCAGCTTCCCAGTGCTGGGCTTACAGGGGCCACCACACCCAGTTTCAGTGGCCAGCACCACTAACCCCAGGGTTCCTGGCCAACGTGGCACATGGTGGCATGCGTTGTTGGGGATGGAACCCGACTCTTTGTGCTTTCCAGGTGATTAGATCTCTGAGCTATCTGCCTAGATTTGATTTGATTTGATTTGATTTATGTATTTATTTTGTCTTTTTGATACAAAGTGAGCTCAAAACCAGGGTCTTTCTGGCTTTGAGCTCACTTTGTATCCCAGGCTGGTCTTGAACTCACAATGTTCCTCCTGACTCAGCCTCTCGCGTGCTGGGAATACAGGCATGTGCCACCATGCCCGGTTCCAGCCTTGATTTTAAAGTCCTATACATAAAGTTGACCCTCAATTTCTAATAATTAAATATAATCTAAAAGTAGAGTTCTTCATAAGAGAGAAAGTATACACAATACACAATGCATTAATTAGTGTTAATCTCCTACTAGCCTGTTTCGAAAATTTGTTTTCTTGTTATTTTTATTTTTTCTCTTTAAAATAAAAATATTTCCTTAATGCTCATCAATGTAAGTGATAAATCATAACAGACTGAATACAGTTAGTACAGCTGTTGTCTATGAAACCAAACATTTTACATATTTCTAATGTGCAGCTCTTCCACTTTTCTCAAGGTTTTTAATTTAAATACAGTTACTGTCAATATGAATGTTGTATATTCATTATTATTCTATTGAAATAAAATAATGCATTTAAGCATGTTCTTAGTATAAATCATAGTACCTATCGATAGATATAATCCCAAGCAAATCCATTTGAAGTTTTTAGCAAGTTCTGAGGTTGAAAAGACATTTTAGGTCCTAAAAGTCTGAGACCTACTGTTGCACAATTTGCATAACAGTAAGCACAAACACTCCAGGATTAATAAAAAAGTCTTTTAACTAGCTGTGTATAAAACATTTATAGCCGACACCGGGACACAGCTCTTTTCCCGAGGACTCACCCAGGGCCCTCTTTCTGCAGGTGCCTGGTGCTGACAGTCAGGCACAAAGCTTAATGTTGAGAAACAAAAGGTAACTTTTACTTCTACAAATCACAGCCTGTGCATTAAAAGTGATAATATTTCACTGTAAATGACCTAATATTCCTCACATGTTGAAATTTTATTCTGTCTGTCCCTTTGAGGTGGATTTTTAAAATTAATTAATTAATTTACTTATTTATTTATTTTTGCGATACCAGGGATTGAACTCTAGACCCTGCACTTGCCAGGCAAGCACTTATTCTACTGAGCTATCTCCCCAGGCCCTTGAAGTGGACTTTTAAAGGATCATAAGAATTTATCTGAGGACTGGTCAGATAGCTCAGCCGATTAAAGCTCCTGTTTAGGCAGATGCAGGGACCAGGGTTCGATCCCCGATCCCCGGCTTACCATGCCAGCCCCACCCCTGGGGCGTGCTGAGTGGCAACTGAGACTGGGCGTGGTGGTGCACCCATGCAATCCCAGCACTTGGAAGGCTGAACACAGGGGGATAACTGATCTGAGTCTGATCTGTGTAGTGAGACCCTGTAGATCCTGTACTAAATACATAAAAAAAAAAGAAGTGGTCTACTTTTGACCTATGCTGATCTATTTTATAGTGTAAAAGATTGCTTCTCTTTCATTGAATTATACAACTTATTTTGGAGGATTCCTAAATACTTGCTTAAGTAAATTATTTTTTCTGGCTTGTGACCAGAAGAATCAGTTTTAGCAGTAACTACACCTAAGGACAGTTTTATATAAAATATTCCATCAAATCCAGACAGCTTATACTTCCATAAGAAACAAGTATTTTCTCCAAAAGTTTTTGGGTAAGTTTTTAAAAGTCATGCAAAGGAAAGAAATTTCAACCGAAAAAGTATTACTAT